TGCTTGGCAACTGATTCATATTTATGACAGTTGCAGTGTCCCAGGGTCATGTGAACAGCTTTTGTGACCTTCTGATACGCAAAGTCAACGGAGAAGGCAGATTCACTTAACAATCGTGTTACGAATTTAACAACTGCAGTGATCCACATAACAACTGTGGCAAGAAAGGTCGTAAAATGGGGCAAAACTCATTTAACAAATCTTTCACTTAGCAACATAAATTTTGGGCTTAATTGTGGTCGTAAGTAATTATCTTAGAACAGAGGCCCCCAACCTTTTGGGCACAGGGGACCGGTTTCATGGAGAAAGGTTTTTCTGCAGACCGGAGAGGGTGTGGTTTTGTGTGCTGCCTGCATCCCACAGATGGGGCCTTGTTTGTTTGTGCGGACCAGTTGCCGGCATGCCACAATCCGGTACCAGCCCATGGACCAAAGGTTGGGGACCCCTGTCTTAGAAGTTCCCTAAAATAATGCATAGAAGTTTTATGCATGAAAAATTGAAAGATGAACACATCTTCTCACATATCTCAGCTTGGAAAAATCTAAAATATTTCCAGTGGTTTCGAGAGGGTACACACATACACATAAACACTGAAGACAAGGCAAAGATTGGTATAACATCCACAACTCTGTCCTCAACCTGGCCTGCCAGTGATCATGCTGGCCAGAGATTTTGTCAATAAATATGGAGGCCACCAGTTGATCGAACAGTATTAAGAATAACTGGATATGGACAGTCTTAAACATTGTCTTTTAAGAGTTTTACTTACTGAGTTAGTACAACATCATAATGCCCCAAAGAGTTGTTACCATCCCTAGGTTGGCAATCTCTATAGTAATTCTGGTTCCAGGAATTTGCACTTTCATTCCAGTTATCTCTCCATCTTGGATCTGTACAAAGTAAATATAAACAAATAGATCTTCTTGGATGTATTAAGAATGAAAGACTAGTCAGAATTAGGCGTAGAGGAATGGAATGCCATTCTCCTTAGACTACACAATTGAACTATGCTCTTGCTCTACTGGAACAGATTAGATAATGCCAGTTATTTACCTGGGGGGGAGGGGATGGGAAAGGATTGCAGGTAAACAGCATGAAGCTGAGAAACAATTAAGAGAAATGAAATGGTTGAGTTATACCAGAGGTAGGCAACCTTGGGTCTTTTATGACTCGTGGACTTCAACTCCCAGAATTCCTGAGCCAGCATGGCTGGCTCAGGAATTCTGGGAGTTGAAGTCCACAAGTCATAAAAGACCCAAGGTTGCCTACCCTTGAGTTATACGATAGTAATTTTCTCAAATACTGGCTAGGGTTATAGGACTCCTACTTGCTCTCTTCCTTCTTTTAGTAAATCACCATTGCAGGAATGTTTCCTTATTTAAACCAAATTATAATATAATTTGGTGCGGTGTTAAGGCATCAAACTAGAAACCAAGACATCATGAGTTCCTTGCCTGCCTTAGGCACAAAGCCAGGTGGGTGATCTTGGCCCAGTCACTCTCTCTAAGTCCTAGGAAGGAGTCAATGGCCATCTTCTTAAAAAAATTGCCAAGAAAATTGCAGGGACTGGTAGCTTTCGCTTTTAAGAACCATCGTATTTGGGCTGCAAAAAGCTTAAAAACTATATGATGGAAGGTTTACAGCAGGTGTCCCCAACCCTTGGGCAATGGACCAACACTGTGCTGCGGCATGCAAACAAGCGAAGCCCCATTCACAGGATGCAGGCAGCACATGAAACCACGCCGCCCCCCCCCCGGTCTGTGGAACCAGTCCCTGATGCCCCAAAGGTTGGGGGCTGCTGGTTTACAGCATCTCACTACTTCCATCTACAGGTTGTCCAGATATTTATAACCCAGCTATAGCACAGCTAATTTTTTAAACACATGCATTAGAAATGAAATGAAATGAAATGTAGGTGTATGTGTCTATGTATGTATGTGTTTGTGTGTAAACCTTTTGCCCAAGGTTCTCTATAAGTGAGCTTAGGAGTAAGTAGTGCTGCCTGTGGTTTTTCAGTCTCAAGGGGAAATAGAAATTAATGAAGAAAATAGCATCCATGCTTCTTGCAGCTGAAATACTTTGAGAAAAACAGGGGGAACTATAGAAAGGAGGAGGAGGTTGGAATGATATAGAGTTCTGAGGCTAAGCTAAAGGGGGAGGAGAAGACTTCCGGTTTTGCGCAGTAGCAACTGGTTATGGGCTTGTGGATTCTCCGCACCCCCGCGGCTAATTTTGCTCTGCCAGGAGATCCTAAATGGGTCTAAGTCGCCCCGGAGAGGCGACGAAGAAAGAAGGATGCTCCAGCGATTCTGGAATGGCAGCGGCAGTTCTGTTCGACTTGGGGAAAGCCTTCTAACCCGACAGGAGAAAGGCTGGCCATATTGCATCGACCAGCCCAAGCTACTAGCAACCGAAGTTCAAAAGCACTAACCAGCACAACTGTGAACAGCATGCTTGAAACTAGGTGAGGAATTTGATCTTCTCTTTTCTATTTTACATTTAATTTCCTGGAAAAGATCCCCAAGAAGCAAAATACCTCTGACTGGGAAGGAGGGGGATTTCCGCCCCACCCTTATACTAACGGAAGCGATGAATTAATCTTTTTATGGAGGATCAAAATATATGGAAGTGAAATAAATATAAAACCTGAAATTTAAAACTTAAATCTGGATAAATCTAAAATTGTTTGAATGGTTAAGATTCTCATTCTAAAGATAATTGTTCATTTTGGAAATTGAAAAACAAATAGATCCTGACACCTAGTGGTGGATGAAGACTATGACAGCTATGACTTTAATATAAGACTTGGCAAAACCTGGGAAAAGCTAATCTGTGTTTGTGACATTCAAAGTTTTAAGAACAAAGAACAGCTGTGACAAAAGAAAAGACAATAATCTGGGCTGTAGACAAAGAGAGAATTATAAATTTCAGGGGAAAAAATCTTTTTTTAACTATTTGGATTACAAATATCTATTCAATTGGGACTCATTGCTATTTGCAGAGAAAAGGAAGAAAGAGAAAGACTCAAATTCTTGACCATCATGGATCAGAGACATGTAGAAATAACATATCAAGAAAACATAAATACTTCACAGGAGGAGATATAAAGTATACTGCAACTAATTCAAACAACAATGACTTTAAACCACAAAGAAATCCAAAATAACTTTGAAAATTTAAATCAATCTATTTCCAAGTTAACTCTACAACAAAAACATTCCCAGAAAACAACAACAGAGAAGGAGCAGATAAAACAGATAAATGGATATAGAATTGAGAATAGAGACTTAAAGATGGAACTTAACAAAACTAGGAAACATGATTTAATTCTAGTGGAAAAAAATTCACAAGAATTGGAAAAAACAACTTATCCCTTAAGACTACAAAATAAATCTGAGGATAAGAAAACAGATTGGATAAAATGGACTGTAGAGATGTTAGGAACATCGGAGAGAAAGGAAATCATAAGAGAAGTAGAGAGAAAGAAAAAGAAAAAGATTTTCAATGAACATGGAAAGGCAGAAGCCCCGTACAAAGACACTTTACCTGATTTACTTTTTATATCTACAGCAACATTTACGAACATACGGAAAAACTTTTTGATTCAGCAAAATACATTGATTAAGAAAGATATTAGGCAAAGAAAAAAGACTAAAGTGGAAACCAAGAAAATTGACGATGGGACTTACCAGAGAGAATACCTAAAAAAGAAACATTTGTTTGAATATGGTTAAAGAAATAGAAAAGTTTTGGAATATATATGTCATTCTAAGAGAGATGAATTCCTTAAATAATATAGTATGCTTTTTTCCCTTTTTTGTTCTTTTTCTTGATATACAGTAAGTAATATAAAAAAGTTGAAATGACTTAGATAAAGGAAATGTTTTAGATATTTAAATGTGATTGAATTTACAGGATCTATGATAAGGCAACCAGAATGATTGGATAGAAAAGAAATATTATATTGATGTGATTATTATTTTAGGAATATTGGGGGGAAATTATATATTTAATTGTTATATATCAAAACAATAAGAATTGTATCAACTCAATGTTTGCAAAAAAGGATATTTTGGGAAAAGAGGAAATCAACTAAAACCATTATGTGGATTATGGATTATAGAAATCAATTGTTAGTGATTGTTTTACAAATATAACCCAGACAACACACCGTTCACCAATTATTAAGTGATTTATGTTTTAAAAAATCAATAAAATATATTACAAAAAAAACAAATAAAGGGGGAGGAGAAGAGAAAGAGAAAAAGAGACAGAAATGTGAGTTATTTAATCCTACAAATGGGGCCACAGAACTGAAATAGCATTTTGGATTTAGCATGTGATCCCAGGAATATTTTGAGACTGTGATCAAGATAGGATACTGAAATATTTTGGGGTATTACATTACATTCCCAGTTTTTACAAACTTGAAGATAGCGTATTTGACACTTTCTACCAAGTTTTCTCTACAAGAATATCTTTGTTAGGTTGGGCTAAGTGACTTGCTCAAAGTTGCCAAGTGAATTTCATGACCAAGGATAGATTTGAACCTGAGTCTCTCTAATCCTCTCTAGTCTTCTAGTCTCTAGACCATAAGCAATATACTATACTGGCTGCCTCCTTAGTCTCGAAATGTTAGTATACTGTAGTAAGTTACAAATACTTAAGTGTTGCAGTTTCACAGGCCTGTTCTCTCCTTTTCAGGACATTCAACTCTAACATTCTAAACTTCAGTCCCTCATTATACTAAGATACAAAGGATGCATAAAGATTTAAAAAAAATGCTTACAAATGACTTCCTATAACACACACAAATACAAGCACACCCTATTACTTTACTTCATTCCCCAATATCCATTATTCCTATATAGATTGGCCTTTGCCTGTGCTACTTGGAAATTATAAATTGTTTTAGCCCAGAAGAAAAATATTTTAGACCAGAGAAAGATATTTTAGCTCCATTATGTTCTCAGCCATTTATTCTATGGGGAATGCAGTACCTCTTTTGCTTGGATGTACTTGGGTGAATCTTTGATATGCTTCATGATCCTCCACAAAGCCACGGTGCAGCTCTTCATATCCTTGCCTGAAAAGTAACCCCAAAAGTTATGAACTAAGTAAGAGTCAGAAAAATCTGCTTTAGTGGGCTTTCTACATCTTTTTGATGAAGGAAATAAAATAGTTGGAAATAGTTAATTAAAAACAGATCCAGAAAATAGTACATATTATTATTATGTGCCAGCAAGTCATTTTCAGCTCCTAGTGATCTTTTCCATAATGATCTATCTCTAACCTGGTTCTCCACATCTTCCCATGGTGCACACAATCACCATTGTAAGTCCATCTACCTTGCCACAGGTCATCCTCTTATCTTCCCTTCTACCTTCCCCAACATTATAGCCTTTTCCAGAGAGCTGGGTCTTCACATAATTATTAGACATAATAATAACAATAGATCGAGCTTCCTGTGGCGAGGCGCCACCGAAGGAGGCTTTTTCCTGAGCCTCCAGCCCGGGACTGCGTCAAAGCCGTCAAAACAGCGCGGATCAGCTGTTTTGCGGCTCGGAACTTTCTCCCCGGGCGAAGGGGAGAAAGTGAGTTTGGCTGGGATAGGGGTTGAGTTCCCTAGTCCCCCCAGGAGCGTTCCTGGGGGGATTTAGGTGAGAATTCCCCCGGAGTC